GAGCAAGCTTCTGTGGAGGACTCGGCCAGCAACCGCAGGTGCCGCTGACCCAGCATCATGGGTGTCTTGGGCCCTTTGCCCATCCTGGATGTGGGGGGCCTCCTGCTCAACTGCAGCCCCAGCATCAGCTTGGGCCGCAGCAATTTGTGGCTTTTGAACCTCGTCTGCAACCCCAGCATTGCGGCGGGTTTGGTCCGTGCCAAACTGAGCTGCAGCCCCAGCCTGGAGGGCTACATCAACCTGAGCAGCATCACCTTCAAGGTGCACCACGGCGCCAACCACAGCATGAAGGAGGACTGCTGCGCCAACCCCAGCATCAAGGAGGACCGCAACCCGAGCAAGGAGGACCGCTGCGCCAACCCCAGCATCAAGGAGGACCACAACCCGAGCAAGGAGGACCGCTGCGGCAACCCCAGCATCAAGGAGGACCACCTCGCCAACCCGAGCAAGGAGGACCGCTGCGCCAACCGGAGCATCAAGGAGGACCGCCGCGCCAACCCGAGCATCCAGGAGGACCGCAGCATCAAGGAGGACCGCCTCGCCAACCGGAGCATCAAGGAGGACCGCCGCGCCAACCCGAGCATCCAGGAGGACCGCGCCAAACTGAGCATCAAGGAGGACCACCTCGCCAACCGGAGCATCAAGGAGGACCGCGCCAACCCGAGCATCAAGGAGGACCGCTGCGCCAGCCCCAGCATCAAGGAGGACCACCTCGCCAACCGGAGCATCAAGGAGGACCGCCACGCCAACCGGAGCATCAAGGAGGACCTTTGCGCCAACCCGAGCAAGGAGGACCGCCGCGCCAACACGAGCCGCAAGCAGGACCACATCAGCGCCAGCATCGCGGAGACCAACCGGAGCCCCAGCAACATGAACCGATGCATCACGGGCCTCCCGGTTCATTGCAATCTGAGTGGCATCAAGCTGGCCAGCCGGCTCATCAAGCCGCTTCGCCTCATGCAGATCATCGGCCCGATGGAGCACGCCCAAAACATGCACATGGAGTGCCTGAACCCCTTGAGCCACCTCGGAGCTACAAAGGCCCTTTTCAGGGCCCGCCTGTTCACCCAGCTGAGACGAGGAGCCCTGCAGAACCAGCACGCAAAGCGCCAACTGAGTGGCACGGACAAGCGCCTCCGCAAACAAAAGCGAGGCCAGCGGAACCAAGTGACATCGACAAGCGCATGACGAAGCGCAAGAAGAAGTAAGACTGCACGGTGCCGGCAAGCGGAAAAAAACACGTTTGCAGGTTTCGGGATCAGCCATCAGCATGCTTGAAGCACACGTGCAAAAGTGCTTGCGCATGGGTGTATTGCATGCACAGAACCCTTCCCTGCGCAGGTCTACCACGTGATCGAGTTTTTCTCTGGCTGTGGCAGCTTGTCAGCTGAATGCAGGGCTGGCGGATTCCGGGTTGCGTCGCTGGACAAACTTAATTCATATGCACATGATGTGTGCACTGATGGTGGAATGGTGTGGTTTGGCTGCATCGAGAATCATCGAGAATGCGCATGTGAGTTTGCAACTGCAATAGCGTTGAACATTCATGGCGCTGTGTCATGTAAGGACGTGGATTGCGGCTAGCCTTCGAGGGCGCCCAGAGTTCCTAGCCTGGTTCGGCGTGTTGTGTTCATCCTGGATCGCAACATCGCGGGGGTCCACATGCCGCACCTTCCTGGTGCCACAAGGCATCGAATCTTTTGCTGCGGTGGCGCAGGGCAATTGCATGGCCTGCAGGCCTGCTTGTCCTTTTGTGATCTGTGTTGCACACTCCCCCCAAACAAAAGTGCCATATGCAGGTGCTCAATGCTATGCTTTTTGATTGCTGTGACTGGCTCCACATTTGCGTTGGAGCAGCCCAGATCATCTTTACTGTTTCAGTACAGCCGCATGCAATTCCTGGCCTGTTCCGTTCCAGTGCCCTCGGCATGATTCCCATATAGACACCCCAAAGAACCTTGCAATCATGCTTGCAGGTCTGGCGCATAGCCTTTTGGATGGGCACTTTTGGATCCAAAACACCAAAGAGGTCCTTGGTATGGAGTAATGCCGGTGGTATCGGTGCCCTCTTCAGCTCTGCCCTGCTGAATCCCAAGACCTTCAAGAAGGATCCGAACTTTCGGCCAACGATCAAGTATGTCAACAAGCAAGGCAAGTCTTCCTGGCAAGGAACCAAGCAGCTCACGGAAACTGGGAGTCTTAGAAGCAGGGTGTTGCAAAATGCGCGTGCAATGTGCTAGTGTGCATGCGCATCGGTTGGGCGCAGCCGCGCTCAGGAAGTATCCCAAAGCTTTTGGCCGCCGCATTAGATATATGTTTGAAACTGGGCAGCTGAAGCCAAATGGCGAGTTTCCACTTCACGCCTCTGAGTCAGAGGCGCAAGAGGCGTTTGCTAGGGCGGGTTATTCTGATATGTGCGAAGATGGTAATCTTCTACAGGTTGCGCGCTACCTGCGCCAGTGCAAAGGGCTTAAGGTGCCCGAAGAGTGGCGCTGCTTGCTACCTGACAAGCTTTGAAGCAAATCTGGCTGGAAAAAATGCGTTTTGTTGCCAAACTATGTGAAAAATAGGCATGTACCTGTTTAGATTTCGCACGACGCCCGTAATTCCTTCATATGCCGACCACTTTTATCTCGCACGACCATTTCTTTTGCAGGGCACGACCGTTTATTTGGTTAAGCGCCCGTATTTTTTGCAATCCACGACCACTTTCCTGCAACCGATCACTTATCTTTCATACTGCGACCGTTTTTTTGTCACGCTGCGACCGTATTTTTCCGTACAAAATCCGTACAAAATCCGTACAAAACCCGTACAAAAGCGTACAAACCAAACCCTCCATGCATGGGTGCCGCAGACTTGTGTCTTAGCTTTGCTGCCTGCTTAGAGTGGACTTAGCGCTTGTGCCATGTCAGCTTCCCCGCATTCGTTTAGAAGCGGGCTACGCAGTGGCTCCACCTTTAAGCACGGTTTGGCGCATCTTGAGGAGGGTAAGAAGTTAAGTTGGAGTGCTTGGATGACTCCGGACAAAGCTGCTCTCAAAGCGTGATACACGACCGGAAATGACAAACGCACCTCTTTGCCGTGCCTTTCTCCTTCCATTACAAGATAAAGCAGTTTCAAGAATAATCGTGATTGACGGCCATTGCTGCGTTGTTGCGCTGGATCCAGGTTGCATGCTTCATTAAGCCTATTAGGAGCTCTCGCGGCGCACGCTTGCGTGGACATGCAGACAAACATGGGACACCGCTGGTTGAGGAGGTTCCGCTTGCCCAGCAAGACCCTGACACACCTGAGACGCCTACCCCGGTCCGTCCTTTGTTTTCACCTGTGTCACTTGCAAAAGCTGCAACCGACGAGTTGGTGGGCTCCTTGACGGAGAATGACGTCATTAACTGCATGGAAGAGGAGGTTGAGAACATGGTGCGGGCGGATGATACCCTACCTGATAGCCAAGACCCTTATTGGGAAAATGACATCCCAACACTGGAGGAGGCAGAGCAGCGCATGCAACTGGAAGCATGTGCGCATTTAGTACAGTGCTCACGCACGTGCAACCGTTGTTGGGTTATGTATCCAGCTCAATCTGTGTGTTCAGACCGCACAACTGCTTGCTTGGTAACATGTGCGTGTGTGTGTGTGTGTGTGCATGCGTCTTGGCCCACGTAAGGATCCTGCAAGCGATTCTGACATGCAGCAGGCTGAGGCGCTGGCCGATCCGTACATGGTCGTTGATTCAGAAGGAGACCAGGATGTGTCCGATGCTGAGACCTTGCCAATCGAGGACCCAGCACACACACACACACTCACACACTCACACACTCACACACTCACACACTCACACACTCACACACTCACACACACACACACACCATACACACACACACCAACGCGCATTGCCGCGACCTACAATGTGCGTGCAGGATTTGTTGGTCGGTCTGCAGTCCATGAGCCAACAAGCTCCTTGACTTGCGTGTTGGCGGGCAAACGCAACAATCGTGCCACTTGATTGTAAATACTGAGGACGGCCAGAAACGCGCGGCAGACTTGCAGGATGCTGCTCCCACATCTGCAAAGAAAGCCAGGGCCAGCGCACCAGCTGACCAGGAAGTTGCTGAGCCGCAGGCAGCCGATGGCGCTGCAACACCCGTCCAACCGGTTGCCCGTCAGCCCCGCACGTGGGCAGAGCTTCTGGGGGCGACGCCAAGCACAGCTCTGCCGCCCCAGCAATTGCAACTGCAAGCGCAAACAAGCCCGACGCCACCGAGCAGGAAAACAAGCGAGGTCGACAACAGCGCGGCCTGGTGCGCAGCAGCTGCAAAGCTGAGACGGATGTGTGAAGTCAAATCCAGCGGCAAGTTGGAGGTGCCGCCGGATTTGGCCAGTGAATGGATGTGCAAGGGCCCTAAGCGCAACAATTTGATCCAGATGATGATGGACGCAGGTCGAAACAAGGAGACTGTCTGTCATGCGTCGGGCATACAGTTTGGCGTGCGCAGGTACGCTTGTGACTGTTATTCATGCCATGCTTGATTGCAGGATCTGTTCCTTCAACGTGTCGAATTGCGCAGAACTGGGGAGAGGTACAAGAACTTGGCCACAAAAGGAGGCTTCTACTCAGAAGCCGACATGCGGAAGCCCGTGTCGGAAGGAGGTCTGGGTTGGTCACAGCGCCACCCTTACAACGATATCGACTGAATCCTATTGCAAATCACGTGTGCTTTCACCCGTGACTTCTTCAGGAAAATGGTGGCCAAAGCCAAGGAGTTTTGTGAAAGCCATGGGGAGCTGACGCAGCCCCTTGGCATGCCAACAAGGAAATTTGGGCCTGCCAAGGCCCAGCGCACAGCAAAGGCCTTGGGCCTGGGCCTAGTGAAAGAGCTCTACATAAGCGAGTTTAGGACCTATAGCGCCAGTCCTTTTGGGTAAAGGTTCTTGGCCTGGGCTGCAAGGGCTCTTTGTCTGCAAAGGCCTTGAAGATGTTGGGCCAGGGCCGTGACATAAGGGCCCTTTGGTGGGTCTGTGAAGGCTCAGCACTCGGTATAATGGCCTTGCTGCCATAGGGCCGGCAAAGGGCCTGGAAATCCAGCTTTAAGGCTTAATTGCAGCAAAGGCTTTGAGTTGGTCCTGCTGTGAAGGGGGCCTGTGAAGGCCTTCACTGTTTGGGCCAGGGCCTGCAAAGGCCCTTGCCTGACCCTGTGAAGGCCTTCACTGTTTGGGCCAGGGCCTGCAAAGGCCCTTGCCCTTGGCCTGTGAAGGCCTTCAACATTGTTTGGGCCAGGGCCTGCAAAGGCCCTTGGCCTGGGCCTGTGAAGGCCTTCACTGTTTGGGCCAGGGCCTGCAAAGGCCCTTGCCTGACCCTGTGAAGGCCTTCACTGTTTGGGCCAGGGCCTGCAAAGGCCCTTGCCCTTGGCCTGTGAAGGCCTTCAACATTGTTTGGGCCAGGGCCTGCAAAGGCCCTTGGCCTGGGCATTATGTGTGTATTAAGTTAGTGAAGGCTTCGTTGTTTTGGGCCGGGCTGCAACGGTAGACACCGCCTAGGGGCCTGTGAAGGCCTCACCTGTTTGGGCCAGGGAACTGCACAAAATGGGCCCTAGGGCCAGTCCTGCGAAGGGGCACCCTCAACTCCTGGGGCCTTTCAAGGCCGGATAATGGTTTGGTATTTTTTGTTTCCGGCAGGGCCCTGCGAAGGCCTCTGCTGGTGAAGAGGCCGGAAGGCCTAGTTAAACGCTACACTATGGGCCTCGAATCTTTGCGTTTTTGTGGGCATTGATTAGTAAAGCCTACATAGGCTCAGGTGTTTGAAAGCACCCCCCCCCCCCCGCTTTTGATGTTTTCGTTCGCGACTTCCAACGGCGCGGAACAGTATGATGAAGAGGTCATTGGTATAGGGTGACGTCAGAACTTCGGGGCGTTGAAGGGGGTAGAGCGGCCGAACAAGCGCACCACTTCGGTTCAGCGGTACAGGCCAAGCATCCACAGCTTCCATCCCTGGGTCCATGGACACATCCTTCAAGCACAATGGCTCTGGACTTTGTTCCTTGGAAGGGCCCAAAGGATCTTTGCCAGAGGACCTTGTAAACATGGCAGCTTGCGTACCACGTTTGCAACGCCGGCGCCCTTTCAATGGCACGCGCCAGGACACTGTCAAAAAGTACATGGATGAGTGCCTTGCTTCCCGCGAGAAGCTACGCAAAGCCATTGACAAACTGGACCATGATGCTCCAGCGCTCAAACCGTGCAGGCCTTATAAGCGCGCATACACATGGTGCAGAACAACGTATCACGCATGACCTGCGTCTTAGGGAGCTTTGCAAAATGGAAGAGGTGGAAGAGAAGCTGGGCACCCTGTATGACCAGCTTGCCGAGCAGGCTGCTGACATCAAGGTTGGCAAAAGGCTGCCCGGTGGCAAGGATGAATGTTGTTGCGATACGTTGCGTTGATGCGACAAGTGGTTCACCATGCGCACGAGCTTCAGGCCGGAGCAGCTTGAAGAAGTCATGCAAACAGTGCGTCGTCAGTTTGGATCTTAACTGATCTTAACCTCATTTCGTTGACCTTCTTAGGGCCAGGCTTTGCCGAAGTGCCATCGTTCATGCAGCCCAGGGCAGCCCTCGCTATCTCCTTGGAGGCCAAGAACAGGACTTGCTTGCTGTCAACCCTGCGCTGTCCCTTTGCAAACTCAACCTTGCAGGAAGTTCAAGAAGGTGAAAAAGGAGACCGCTGAGGGCTCGCCTAAGCCTAAGCCAAAGGCCAAGGCAAAGCAGAACCCTACGCCGAAAACCAGGCAGAGGAAATGCAAGGGGGATTGAGGTAAGATCATTCCCAAAAAAAGCACTACGACCCTTAATTGCGATCTGCCAGAACGTGAGTCTACACTTGTGCATGTTTGAAGCCTGGCTGATTTGATGGGAATGATCTCCCTCATTAGGGTGCAATGGCAACTTAGGTGGCCTGACAAACTTCATTTGCCCTGGGCAGTCATGTGGCAGTTGAGCCAGTTAGGAGCGGACTATTTCAATTGAACACGCAAGGGGCACAATCCTTTGTTGGGCCATGTTTTCCATGCTGTGACACAGCAATTTAGATTCCTGTGCGGGAATACCTGCACTGGCCGGGGTGGTGCATCTGAATTGCCACTGGCAAGCTGGCTTATCCCTGCAGACACGCGAGGGAGAAAACAGGCAACACACAATTGCTTAGCTCACCAGCCAGCGGTGCCATAAGGCTGTTTGGATTTTCCAGCTTGCGGGCTTGACAAGCCAGGTGAAACCGTCAATGCGCCGTCTGGCAGCCGCAGAGCGGACCACTTGGCCAAGCAATTGGCTAAGGGAGCTTGGGCCTAAGTCCTGGAGTGCAATGATAAGATTCGGGGAATGCAGCAAAACACTTGAAGGTGCCAGCCTGTGATGTAGTGGAAAGCGCTTTACTCGATGTAGAGGAGTACGCTGCAACAGATATTTGCTTGCAAGAGCTGGCGAAGGGAAGGCTAAAAGATGCTGAACAACATGTGATCAAAACGCTGGCCAAGCACCAGAAATCATTGGGAGCGCCGATTTGCCGCGTTGAGCTGGGGCAAGCTGGTCAACTTCGAAGCTACCCGTTTATAAGGCCCCTGGATGTCATCAGCGCGCTTGATAGTCATGGGTACATCAACGCTTGCATGGGTGCGGGGGAAGCAAGTTGCACTACAATGCTTTCTATGTTCTGGGAACGCTTTGCCGCACTTTACCCTCAACATGACGTTTGTGCTGATATCAACTCTGGCAAGGTTGACCCCAAATACTTGGTACCTCTCCAAATGCATGGAGATGGTGGACGTGGGTACCGCAAAACTGAAGTCATGATTTTGCAGTATCAGCCCATCCTCGGAGCCGGAACAAGGGCAGCTCCCGCTGAGAAGGTGGATTTACCTTTGAATTTTTTGGGGCATAGCTTTTGCACTCGGTTTTTGTTCGCAGTTATGCCAAAGGCTTTCTTCAAGAAGAACGCAAAGGTATTGCTGAAACTGGCACGCAAGTTTGCTGAAGAGCTACGCGTGCTGTACGACAAAGGCTACACCTCCCAAAGTGGCATCACATTCCGCTTTGCTACCGTGGGGATGAAAGGGGACCTTCCCTACATCACAAAGATCGCGGGCTTCAAGAGATCGTTTGGCCGAGTTCGAAAACGCCCGGAAAAAGCAAATTCAAAGCCTTTGGCAGGAATGTGCTGGCTTTGTTTAGCCGGCACTCCCAACTATGATTTTGAAGACTTGTCGCCAACAGCACCTTGGATTAGTACAATTGGTTCTGACCCACAGCCCTGGACTACGCCTAGTCGCATTGTGCAAACTCTTGGAAGTGATGCTGCTCACATAGCATCCTTTTTCAAGTTAGATTTGTTCCACATCTGCTTGGCAGGGGTCCACAAGGAGTACGTTGCTTCCAGCCTTGTTCACATCCTCGGGCACTATGATGGAGCCATGAATGCGCAACTGACCCAAATGAATCGGGACTTGCATATTTTTCTCCGGCAGCACAGGGTGAATCTACATTGCCAGGAGCTCACCCTCAGTTTGCTGGGATACAATGCTAAAGAATACGCTTCAGGCGGCTGGAATAAAGGGCAAGATTCAGCAACGCTAATGAAATTCGTGCACTGGCTTTTGCAACAAGACAAGTGGGCGCCGCTCGTGAACAAGAAGCAAGAGCTTCAATTGATGAGAAATGCAGCTAGCTGGATGAATGAGTTCATGTCAATTCTGCACTCGTCGGGGTGTTTTCTGGATGGCGAAAAGGCCTCAAGGGCAGCTATGCTGGGACAATCATTTTGCGTTGCGTACCAAAAGCTTGCAGTTTGGGCGCTGGATCAGCGTGTTTTGTTGTACAATCTGATTCCAAAGCTGCATTGTTATCACCATGCAATTATAGTAATGGGTTCCCACGCGCAAGCAAAAGGCTTCGCGTGGAATTTACTGAATGATGCTACACCCCAAGATGAAGACTTCGTGGGTCGGGTGGCTAGGATTTCTAGGCGTACTAGCAGCCGCGTTGTACCGCTTAGGGTGCTGCAAAGATGGCAGTGTGCAGTTCTCACGGAGTTGAAGGGATCAAGGAAAAAGGTGCCAAAACATGACACAATTGCACTCCGAGGGCTCTTGGTGCGCAAGCTTTGCAGGCCCATGAGTCTAATAGTACAAAACAACTATGCTACACTCCTTTGGCCTTCATAGGCCTTGGGGCCTTCACAGGGCACAAGCCTCGGGGCCTTCGCAGGCCCACAGACCTTTAGGGCCTTCGCAGGCCCATGGGCCTTCACCCACACAACCACACACTTGAGCGCTCATCACCCATGCATGCACTCACTCAGGCGCACACTCATGCAAACACAGGCCTGCAAAGGCCCGCCGTAGCTGTTTCTAACGCATGCCGGGTCGATGTATATATTATATGCATGTATCACGAGTTCATGCCAAGTAGGACATTTTGTGGACAAGGGTTTTTTCATACCACGACCATTTTTTTGTCGCACGACCAAAAAAATGGTCTTTCGAACTGCGACCAAAAAACGGCAGTCTTTTGAGGCCCCAGGAACTGAAAAGAGCAGGCGCTTCGCCGCTTTTTGGGCCCCACTCCCTTTTCGCTGCGAAGAAGGTATATCCGGACTCAGGGGGGGTCCTTTGTAATCTGAGATGCCCGAGATAACTCGATAAGTTGGAATCAGTTGGAATCAGTCGGGATTACTCAGAATACTCAGGGGGGTAAGTTGGAAGAACAAACGCAACATCAATTTGCCGCAGGCGCCCACTTCGGCCTGGCCGTGCCTGCGGTGGCCTGGCGTGTTTACGCTCATAAGACATGGGGTTGTCTCCCATTTGTTTGGGGTGTGTGTTTGTTGTTCTCCCTTAACATGGTGGTTGTCCTTTTGGTTCTTTTTTTTAGAACCACAAACATGGGGTGCCCTCCACAAAAGACACACTCATATGCTGGGTGCGGTCAACAGCAGCTAAGCTGTTTGTTTTGCCCAAACAGACAGACCACATGGATCTTTTTGGTTCAGACTCTGGATGTACTGAGCATGGAGAACCGAGAGTGTTGTCCCAAATGAAATGGTCCGGCTACGCCAGGCACTTGGACTCAAAACTTGGAGCCTATGGCCCGAAAACGGGTGCGTCGAAATCCAGTTCTGCTTTTTCTGTGGCGCTGTTTGGTGAGGCGATAGGACGATATGATGTCGGAGACTTCCAAGATGGTTTCCACTACCCCCAAACCACCTGTCACCCCAGGGAGGATGGGAAAAGAACCATGTGTGTCATTTTTTCCATGGGGTGTCCACTAGTTTCAATCCACTGCCCCCCCCTGGAAAGCAAGGTATAGTGGCTATACCGGTACATCACATGACCCCCTGACAATATTGGTTTAAGAGTAGGGGAGTCCATAGAGAGGTCACGGGAGGCAGGGAGAATGAGCGAGTTGCACCCTGATTGCGTGGCGTCATGAGGGTAACTTCCAAGCACCCGTCAGACAACCTCAGGGGAAATCACTACGTTTTGAAAAGAAAGATGGTTGAAAGGTATGCGGAATCAACCTCTACATTTTGCTGGGGAGATGCTGCTTTCTTTTTGGGGGCTTCCTTCTCAGCTTGCATTGAGGCGAAAACCAACAGGAGACCAACCACAGAGTTCGACTCTTATATCTTACATGGGGGTTGATCAGTATTCCCTTCGGCCCCAAAATGACAATGGCTAGCTGTTCCCATGCGTTGCGGACCTTTTGATCAACCCCCACATGAGTTGTATCCGTCGGATCGGCTTTTAGGCTTGCAGGTTCCTCGGCTAGGAGGTTTCGAGGGCACGGTGTTTCCCGCGCTGGATGCTGATGTGTAAGTGTGTTCATCCCCACAAGTATTCTCGGATGGAGCGCTCAACCTATGAGTTCTGAGCACCCCTGGAAAAAGAAAGCAAAACGCATCGACAGGGCGGGACATGACCACTGGTTGATGGCATCCAGCGAAAAGTCATTCAACTGCGTAGTCGAGTGATCTTGTCATGTCAAATCAGATGTCTTCTCCAGCCAGGCTGATTGGGATATTCCGAAAGACGGAATAGTTCTATCACTCCCTCCTCCTCCAGTGGACACATGGCAACACATTTCAACAGGGAAACCCCTCAGAAGTGGTACGTGAATCCTCACTTCGGCGACCAGTTTTGGGTCCAAAGAAAGAGATCCAAACTCCCCATAAGACCCCGAACCCATACGGGTTTCCCACGTGAGTGTGCCTTTTCTTTGCGGCCCGGCGTCCTTTTTGTTGGTGTTTAAAGAACAACTGGAAAGCCGAAATCCAAGTTTTGGGTGCTCGTTCCGATTCCTATATGAAGGCCCGCCAAAAAAAGAAAAAAGGTCCATGTTTTCTCGAGCGCTTCGTGCGCTTACTGCGTGCGCTCGCCGCGCTCGAGGTGCTGCCCAAGATCCCGGGGATGCAGCCGTTGGCCTGGTCCTCGTTGCTACAGGCGGCACTGCAGCTGCCGGGGACCTGGACTCATCCGACTGGACGGACGAGCGTTTCTGCACACGGCGAGCTCACTGATTTGGGGGTAAAACACAAAGGTAAGGATCCTTTACCTGCAGATCCCTAGGTGTTGGAAATATGGTAATAAGCTCAGGTGATATCCCCAACAGCACATGGAACAACGCGTGGAACCCTTGGCGCACCGGTATCTGTTGGTTTAGTCATCCTGGGTGAAAGATGCGAATTCAATTCCAACCCGTTTCAGGTTTAGTCATCCCGTCGTGCAAAGGAAACCGCATGCTCACGCAAGGTTGACCCACGCAAGGGTGACCCCGGCTTTTGTAGAGGGGAAATGGGAAACCACCCCTTAACCACCAAAACCGCCAATTCAGACCACCAATCAGAGGGAAGCTAAAGCAAGCAACAGAGTTGCAGATCACTTTGACCAAACTATTTGCAAGTCCTTCAGAATCTATGCCTTACCGCCCCCACACCTTGAAGCCGCTTTTGGCTTTGCTGATTCAGAGCCATAGCAAGGAGCCATTGCAGCTAATAGTGACTATCAGTGACTAGTAGTGACTGCTGGCCAATAAGGACCCTTGTTATGGCTTGGACTTAGTATTGGAGGTCCCTTATGGCATGGGGTACCTCCCATGGACATTTGGAGCATACTTTGCCTTGAAACCACGGTTGATTTCTGAGGGTTTCTGAGCGGTGCGAAATGGATGTCCTTGGGCCAATCCACAGTATCCCCCCCTTCCATCCCCAGAATCCCAAAGGCGGTGGCCGCCTTCGGCCGAGGCCTCCGGAACTGGCCGACGGCTCGCCGGAGACGGCGCCGCGGCTCGGGGCGGTCAGGGCTGGGGCGAAAGACGTGGGGGTGGGCCGGCCGGGAGTGCAAGCTGAGCGGCGGCGGCTGGATTGGGCGATGGCTGGGTGTTTCAAGCACCAGTGAATGGAGAAAGGCCTGCAGTTGGTAGGCTCATCCCAGTGTTCAGGGCACCTCCAAGGCTGTTTTGTAGTGTTGGGTAGACTAAATATGAAGCAGAATCTGAGCATCATATTTTCAGTGTACCCTCTCTTATGGGCCGAGCTTCACGCATTCCAGTTGCCTGGAGGGTTCCCCTTAAAATCGACTGAGCAACTCCACCGGAAATCGACTGGAAGTCACTGCAAAAAAAACCGCTGGACGTCGCTATTCTCCAAGAGGAAGCCACTGGTGCTATGGCTGGTGCGGGCTTACGGCCGCCGGTTTTCGGGGCCGCGAGGTGTGCTCCCTCTACTGCCAAGTCGTCGAAGCGCTCGAGGCCGGACAAAACACTCCCGGAGCGGATCCGGGAGCCGGGAGCTGTGTTGGAAGATGCCTTGGTATAGCCTAGGTTTCCCAGTACCCTTTTACCGCGTTACCGTTTCTTTTTTGGGGGAGGGTTCCCCTACTACAATAATTGACTACAGAAAAAAGGGTACCCTTGTTCTAACCTCTCTACTGGAGGACCGAGTAGCCGTGTTTCACTAAGTTGGCTCAACCGTGAGGTTTCCCCGCGATCCACAAAGTGAGCCAGGGTTTTCGGTGTAGTTTGGGACAACATGTGCGGTTTTGCCGGTCAATTTGGGCTGAGGCATTGGGGGATGTACTAATGAACTTCTCTTACGACAGGGCGGGCGAACCCATTCAGCATTTGCATGTTTCGTTCGTGGCTCAGATCATGATGTGTTGTTTGCAAGGGGCCGCGGTACATTCTTGCAGATTGAGAGATCACAAAAAGACGTGGCGGCGCGCGGCAAGATTGGGCACCATGGATTTCTTTTATAAATGGTCCAAGGATGTCGCGTCACGCATGCGATTGATGGTTTTGATTGGTTGTTCACGGCATATGCGCGATTCGTTCGCCCAAGCAATACGACTTTGCTCACTTGGCTCTGCAGAAGATCACATCCAACTCAAGCTTTGGCGAGGATGTTTGGCGACGATGTTCTTCTCCTCTAGGTCCCCCTCCTTTGACGCTTACTGATTCGCCACAAACTGAACAACCATCTTGGTCATATATTTTAGTAGGTTCTGCCTTGGCATAGGACCAGTTAAAATATGTTTGTTTAAACCTCAAGCATCTTACCATCTTATCACCCTTCTCTCCCTCCCTGAGTTCCGTTTCGGACTTTAGTCGCTTTTTTTTTTTGGGCATGGTAAACAAAAAACGTGTTACGACTTTTTCCGGCCAATCCACTGGATCGTGAGTTCTTGAGTCAATCAGTCTTATGTGTCTGTTTTAAGGGACCCTTGGATTTCAAATGGGAAAGCCATCATTCTAGGGGTTCCATATGCCATATACCCTTATTGACCATTTTCCATTAAGATACACCCCTATAATGTTGACCCCGTATTAATAAACCCCTGTTTATTAATATGGGGGTGTTCCCCTCCAAAACTGATAAATCCCCACTAAAACCAGGGATACACCTACGCTTCAACATCCGGTCAGTCACTGGGGTTTTGGTGGCCAGGAGCTGGCGCGGGAGCGGCAGCTCCGCAGCAGCCTGGGGGAAGAGGTCACGGAGTTCCAGAAGAAGCCGGGGACTAAGGCCCAAAAGGAGGTGGAAGGTTTTTTCCCGTTGTATTTGGGTCATTTTAGGTCTACGTCTCTCTTCTTTCTTTTCCTTTCGGGGGGGGGGGGTACCCTCTTCATGGTTGTCGCTGGGAAACATTTTACATCTTTGCTTATTGTGGTTTAGAGGGAAATCCCCACTTAACTGCTAGTGTTTAAATTTTTGCTCCCCTTCCAACGGCAACCAAGTCGTTATGGCATGGTGGTGAATGGAAAGCTGTCAAAATTGAGCATGACTGAACTGGTTTGTGGGATTTTCTAGCTGATTCTCAGGAAAGAATGAGTTGGAATGAACCCCCCAAAAAAAAACCCTACTGAGCGCCAGCAAGTTGTCCCTTCCATTTTTTCCTTTCCATTGGTCCCCCCTTTGAAGGGGAACACCTGGAACACTGCTGAACTTTGAGGGTCCATTTTGAGACAAGTCCAGAGATGTTTGTGTTTCTTTTTTTTATCATTTTTTATTTTATTTTATCCAGTTTTCAAAGGGCTCCATCACGCCCGGACAAATATGTTTCTCGAGTTTCTCCAGGGGACTCAACCAAATGGAGTGAGTTTCCGGGTTTCTGGACTTGAAGAGGATACCACTGGTGTTTTGTTTTCCCCCTTTTTTTTAAAAGTGTGTCTCCAGAATAGTGGGCTCTCCTCTTGGCTTCCCTGCACCACAAGGAAGGGGTATCCTTACAATCGACACTTGAGTCCTCTTCCAAGTCAAAAAGTCATGTGGGAAGAGCTCATATTGTGTTTCTCTATGAAAGGTGTTGTGTTTCCCGTGTTTTCCCTACATCTTGTCGGGGAACCCCCCGTTTGGAGGCAAAAAAGACACACCCATCTTCTGTGTTTGTTGGCACAGCTTCGGTTTGGGGTGGAAACCAAAGGCCACGGTTCAGATGAGACACGCTCCATGATTTCATCTTTGGTCCATTTTGCTTGGATGTTAGGACTTTAACTTTTTGCCAACTAGTGGGTTTTCGATTAAACCACCAACAGTTAAATTTTTGGCAGGGGAGCAGATTTCGCAACCGAGTCATGGCGGTTGGCTTCACGAGGTACGACAAGTTGCTGGCGGAGCAGGAGGTCCTCTACAAGGCGAGCTTGAAGTGTTTTGGGGTGACTTAGCCATGGGCCAAGCGATTTCCTACAGGGGATGACTAGACCAAGAAGTATGGGTTGGAATTGAATTTGCCATCTTTCACCCAAGATGACTAAACCAACAGATGCAGGGGTGTCTTGTTTTTGTTTGGAGATGGTACCCTTGTCGAGGCTGGTTTAAAGCGACGCCAACAGGATAATAACAATCTTTGGGGCCCTCTATTGTAAGACACACCCAAATGCTGGCATGCGCTGAGTTCCTTCGATCTCATTTGCCGAATGGGTTTGGAGCTCAAGGATGTCGGGGCAAAACCAGTGGCCTATTAATCAACCATGGGATTATTACTCCGGGGTTAACATTAGGGGAAATAGATGGGTTTCCCTGGTAGATGATGAAACCATCAGGTAAACCAGGAATCGCCATCTATCTTTCTAGCGAAACAACCAAAAAGGACACCTATGCCCTCAAGGGATACCACCAAAACTCACCTTGTTGGTCCTTGGATTGAATCCCCTATTTCAGGGGTTTGAATGGTTAGAAATTGCAGATATGGTTGGCGTTGCGACTGTGAGATTGCGGACGTGTCACATTGGCTCGAGGATTGCACCTTGCAAACCAGTTGGGATTCCACATGAGTCAGTTGCTTGGCACTTTTCGAGTTTTCTATTGGCGAGGTGCTTACTTTACTTGATCGGCACGGCAAATCAACCGAAAGCATCACCCACCAGCAGATCCCCTCTCCCCGTGGGTCAATCACCGGCCAGATGAGGTTGCAACTTGAGGCGGCCCCGTCCAGTCCGGCCTGCCGACCTACGGGTGGGGGGTGGGGCGTTTTAAACTCAACTACCAAACTAAAGGGGGAGAAGCGCTGCATCGATCTAGTGGGCTTTTCTCCCACTTTTGATCGGTTGGTTTGGTTAGACGTAGATGGGTTCCACTGGTTTGCCTTGTTTTGTTCTTAATTTGCCAGAGAAGCCCATCGATTTGTTTCCAAAAGTTCTTAAAAGATCACCTATCTTGGTAGATTCCACTGGTTCAGCTTGGTTTTATAATCATTTCCCAGAGAACCCCATCGAGATTTGTCCAACATATCACCTATCTTGGTTTCCTTTTAAATCCCCAAAGGTCGCGGTCCCCCTTTGAGACAGACCCACAGGACGTTCACTCGCGAGTTGGACCTTCGCAGGACTTCTTTGCACGGAGGGACCAGTGGCTCTCTGAGAAGAAAGACCTCGAGGCACGGCGGAAGCTTTGTTGACCATGCCACATGCCCTCCCTTCCACTGACATGGCACCTCTAGGGTACCTGGAAGATTGGTTTCCTCTTCACCCCATGGTGCTATATTAGTTGGAGGGGGGGGGGGGAACATTTAAGAGATTGAGGTTCGGCAACCACGGAGAAAGGTCAATATGTTTAATTTCCTGGATTGAGCAAAACAAGCGTGGATTAAACACATGGGTTTGAGGGCACATGAAATCGACCCAAGCTTTTTGGTTGCCGTCAGTGAGTAATTCATGGCCGAGTTTGGCTTGGCACAAACTATGTGTTTTTGATGGGTCTATACCCATATAGCCCTTCCTTCTCATGTCGGTTGAACTGATTTCAATCGCAGGGCTGAATATTGACCAATGCGACATGGCTGCACGACTCGACCAGATCGGGGCAGAGATGCGCAGATTTCCGTTGCTTCTCAGGGAGTTTGTATGGTCTCCGGAGCAAACCGAGGCGAGGGCGATAGACCAAAAAATCAGATGCAAATCTCCCAAAACCACAAAGTCGAACATTGAGACCTCCCGGTTGGCTCACAAGTGCCGGTTAGCACCGCGACAGGCGACATGCACTCAAAGACACGCTCTAAACTCAACAACTCCAAACATGTTTGTTGTCAACCGAAAGGGAAGGGGCCTCAAGTACTAATTCTTGTCTTACAGCTTCGCTCCAGTGATCTAATCGCCTCGGGCAGTTGCCCGTTCCAGGTTGGGGCAAGTGAGGTTCCCAAAGAATCAGGGTCCCGGTCCTTGGGTTTGCCTCAGCCGATTTGTTTCTTGAACTCGGCAGATCGCCTTCCGGAATTCCGCTTGCCAGCTTAGACCTGGTTGCGACATCTGTTGCCCTCTTTTGCCGGACCAAGACCACTGCTCGAAACGGCCCGATTGGGCGGTGTCTCCAAATGAACGAACCTCAACGGGTTTGCTCACTTGCAGAGGTGCCACAAGACATCAGGTTTTTGGCCCGATTTATATGAGTGCTCGTTTTGGAACCTCCAAAAGGAGTGGTGTTCGTTGCGTTTCCCTTCGCAACCCCCAACCAAAAAGGTACCCTCAAAAAGGACGCACCTAGTTCAATATGGTTGGTTTGTATCCAAATTGGAGGCTCGTCCTATTTGGGCTTGTCTCATTCGAGGATTCCCAAATGGTGGGTTTCCTTTTGGCAGGAAAGTCCTACAGGATTGGGAACTTGTTTGAAACAACCAATCCCTCCCCTTTGAAGCGAAACCAAATGGATATTAGAGGCTGAGTCACCCACCCCCCATATCCCCCAAGCTGCAGGAGCGCTTGAGCATCCAGGGCAACCTGCTCACGGCCTTTGGGCGTGAAAGTCGGTTGGTGCGGTTCACCCCAGGGACAAACTTTGGTGGGTGCTCGCGGTTGTGGAAAGCTGGTTTCTGCGATGCCAATGGAATCCCCTTTTAAAGTTTACAATTACCAACATCGTCACAGGGAGGGAAGTTCCAGACGCACCAAAAAGAAGCAATCGGTTTGCGGGGTCCAATTCTTAGTTGGACACGCCCATTTGTCAGAAGACCTTCCCAGCTTGTTCAGCTGCATGTTTGACCCATATTCCTTTTGAGCCGATGGCGCAGAAACTTTTAGATTTCATCTGCCTTGATCGCTGGGATGGTGGTTCTTGCCTGGCGGGGCTTGTTGCCCTGGAACCAGCTTTGATACAGCAAGCGAGCCAGGATGCCACTGGAAGCATGAACCGCCTGGGACCCTTGATTTGCTTTGGGCCGGTTGGGATGCCGGGTTTGAACATCCAAGAGGATGCAGCAGCTTTATGATGTGTTGCATCACTTCGAGCACTTCGTGCCGAGGACAGCTTGAAGAAGTGTGAAGTGCAGGAGAGCCAACTGCAGACTTGGCACCTCGGCTCGCAAACATTGGTCTGCCAACAGAACCCATTCGGCCATAGAGCTTGTCCCCTCGTCTGCATTTCACTCGTTTGGTTGGTGTCGGGCTTACCCGGTAAACCGTTCCAGGTTGTAAGGCCTGGGTTTAACTTATTTTGATCCTAATTACCCTTGGCAACTACTAGTTGGCTGCTCAAAAAATGGCAACACGGCATGGTAGATGGAACCAAGACTGAAACCTGCGGGGCAAGCCCCACCTCTTTCACTTTGAGCAACACCCATTTCAGGTTAACCCATGTTCTAAGGTTTGATTCCCCATTCTCTTCACCCATCGTTGTCTGTAAAAAAAACAAAAAAAACACACACACACACAAATCGGTTTTTCAGGGTTTGGCCAAGAGAAGGATCCCTCCCAAAACAAAATGGGGAGGGTGCGGCTAGACAACTGTGGCCTGGTCCTTTTTCGCCGCCCAACGTGCATGGGTGTCCTTTTGGTAAAATAGATGGGTTGCCCTGGTAAGTGGTTCATAAAACCAATCTATTTCAGTGGAACCCCTCTATGTCTTTCTCAAACCGATCAAAAAAAACACCTCTGCATAACCTGGCCCAAAAACGAATTTGAACTTCTTGGGCCACCTAAACCGAAGACATCCAGTGCATCTGGGCAAAAACCTTTGATTTTCCTGGGCCACCAAACAAATGGAAGACATCCCACGTGCGGGAAAGAAAAACCAAAGAAAAAAACAGCTCCTCAGCCCAACGCGGCCGCACGTCGCCCAAAACGTCGCCGCCTGGCCGTGGCCGTCGCGGCCGTCGCGGCCGAAGGCAGCAGCTGAGCTCCGGCGGCGCCCCGGAGCTGCGGGAGGAGCTCATGGCGGCCATGGCGCGGGTGGCTGCGCTGGAGCAGAACGAGAGCGCGCCTCGTCGTTTGACGGCGGCGTTTTGAAAGACTCGGCGTCGACTCGGAGCTCGGTTTGGAGGTCCTGGGGTCCCAAAAAAGCCCCAAGAAGCCAAAAACGGGGCCGTAGGATTCTAGGTGGTTGTTCTTGGTTCTGTTCCTGAGTTGTTTTTTTGGTACAGTGGTAGTTTCCATTTAACCCACTAAAAGTTATTCACTTTCAGCAGGGACCTGAAAACGAACAGCCCATTGAAGGAACTTATTTAATGTGGGAACCTGATTTGGTGGTTTGATATGTTTGGATTGATGGTTAGGATTGAACCCTGGGTTTGTAGAGTTCCCCGGGCAAACAAAGAAACTTCGGCCACTGGCTCAAAACCGATTCGGGTAGAAGGCTAGTCAGGGACAGTACCAGCCAGAAACAGCTGCCGCCTTTGTATTTCCTTACATGGCTTTGGGTAGACCAGTTTAATACCAGGTGTTGATTGTGACTCATTTGGTCATTACAGCAACTAGTATAGTTGTAAATATTGCAATTAATATAATATTCAGTATATTGCTCCACCACACATTTAATTATAATAGTCTGCACCACCAACAATTCAAACATAGAATAATGAACAACATGACATGATCTGGAATTTGGAGAGGTCTGGATTGATGGTTAGGTGTGAACCTCTGGCTCTTGTAGAGTTACCCTTGGGTCAAAAAGACACGCCTGACCAAAACCCACCTGAACCCGGCTTGAAACCTGGACAAATCCCTTTGTTCCTTAAAACCAAGCTCCTTGTAGTCCTTATATCGCCGTTGCCGCTTGGAAGTTGGACTATGACACAAGTTGGACTTGGAACGGGGGGGGAATGGGGGCATGGACTACCTTTGGCGCATTTTGCCAAGGGATGTTAGGACTTCATGTTTTTTTTTTACCCAACTAATGGGTTTGCCGTATTCAACCACTAAAATAAAGAAACAAAGGGCCTTCTTCTTTTTTTTTACCAACTAATGGGTCTGCCGTATTCAACCACTAAAAGTAAAAAAAAAAACAAAAAAGAAAGAATAAGAAGCAACAACAACAAAAAGAAAATCAACTTTTCGCAGGGCTTCGCAGATTTCGCCACCGAGCAACGACATCTCCGGTTGAATCCCCCGGATTGGACCAGGAAACTTGTAATCGCCTGGCCGCCGCTTCAGCCGCCAAGCCCCCCGCTTCAGGCTTTCTTTGCTTGACTGCTAGTGGGCTGGATCTTTAGACTTTAATCTCTCTTTGTTTCTTTTCTTTTTCGGAAAATTAAGGGGTTTTCCATCAAACCCACAAAGAGTCAAACTTCTTTTGCCGAGGGGCCAACGGCAAGCAAGTTTGGTTCTTGACAGCTTGGGGGCGAATGGGGCCCCTGTTTAAAGAACCTTGTTTTGGCTCCCTTTGGAGATACCTCCGGCCTGGCTGCTTCAACACATTGCACCCTGGCGCCTGGTTGACGTTTGATGTCCGGTGGTTTCCCTAGATATTGCAAGTGAACCACGTGGAACCACAGAACCGTCTATATAATATATATACATATATATATATATTTGTTTAATGATTATTCTGCAGGGATTCCCACCTGTCCCCCTGCTTACCTCATATTTACTTTGCGTTCCCGCGATTTATTTCATGTATACCTCTAAAAGTGGTTATCTTTTGCAAGGGATCAACAGATTCTTTAGGGAAATTCTCAAAATGGTGGACCCACGTTTGGTTGGCATTTGAAAGGAAACCAAAACAAAAACCAACCAGTTTGGGGGTCCCTCTGTAGTTTTCGAAGGGTTGATTCCCCATTATTTTCAACCATCGTTCTTTTCGACAACCGATCGCTGTTTCCATGGGACTTTAAGATGCTTTCCTGCACATGGGGAAGCTTCTTTTCGAAGGGTATAGGGGGACCACCACAATGGTTGGTCTTCTTTTGGTTTCCTTTTAAATGCCACCAGTGGGTCCTTCCCTTTGAATGTGGTTAGCAGTCCAGTTGGCAGCCGGCAGCCTGAGGTGCTCTCGCGGAAATATGAAGCGGAGAAGCAGAACCACGCGATTGTGAAGGAAGCCTTTGACACCATGCAGAGAGACTTCCTGGAACGCGAAGGCAGGTGCTAAGACAAGAGCCCAGTTCCTACTTGGGAAGTGTTTGTAGGTTATAACTGTAAGACAACTCAAGTCTGAAAAAACAACCTACTAAGCAGAGAGAAAATCCAAGTCATCAATTGCTGGCATGTACAGCCCTCAGGCAGGGAGGCCACAGGGCTTTTTTTCGACTCATTGCACGATGATGTCTTCCGGGACTAATAAGTGCAAACATGATAACAAGCTCCGCCCGGTTTCATGTTCCGTTGCATTTGAGGTTACATTTCTGTTGTTGAGGTCATGTTCTTTTCCCCTATTGAACCATAGGGAGGCTTCAAGGAAAATGAGTCCTGTCTACCATCACGAGGTGATCTTTGGAGAATTCCCGCGCACAGCAGCTGGGTGGCTGAACTCACAGCAACCTGCGCATCGCCTCCCAAATTGAGGTGGGTATGTTGGACAATGGAGAACACGCTTGTTCATGTACCACCAGACCTCTGGACCATGTCCCTTAAGGAAAACCCCGAAAACGAATGCATAAAGGGCCAAATCAAGGAAAACAGGGCCCTAGGGGGTAAATAAGCCCCAAGCAAGACCGAAGCCCGAGATTTCTGGTTCGGGGTCTGGTCCTTCAGATTGAACGCCACACCTATGGTTGCTTCAGCTCGATCCCCTGCAACATCCCTGTGTTCTCTGGGTTGCCCTGTGTTCAACTATGTTTCCCCAGGCTTCCTCATGTTCCACCATGCTTCCCTCATTTCCACGGATTGATCAGGTTACCCTTAGTTGGTGGTCTGGATTCGTTCGGGGATTTGAGCCCTCAACTTGGCAGAGGGTTGATGGAACCGCGTCCTAAACCACACCACCAATCCAAACCACCAACCCTCATATTTCCGCATGTTTCTCCATGTTTCCCTATATATGTTTCCTCTTGTTCCCCTATGTTTCCCTATGTTTCCCTATGTTTCCCTATGCCCCATTCCCAAGACGCCCCTACGTCTCCCTCACGTCCACTAAAGACGCCCTCCAAGCCTCTCCAGGCTTCCTCAAGGAGCGCCTCTCCAAGGCGACTTTGGCGAAGCGCCGCTCCGGCAACGCGCTGCGCATCGCGCGCCGGAAGATGCAGTCCATGGTGGCGCCTCCGCGAGAAAGGGCCAATGGGGAAAGCGCCGGTGAACAAAACCGTGCTTTGAAGGGACAGACTAAGATTCCATGTGAATGGGAAGAGAAAAGCCAAGGGTTGACCCTCAAATCACTACGCTTATGGAGGAGTTGGTGTTCTTGCCGCAACCATACATAACCTTCATATAAACATATCCCCTGAAAGAAGTGGTTGGCGCCTCCATGAGAAAGGGGAGCCTCGGAGGCTTGGCAGGATTCTCTAGGGGGGAAACCCAGAAAAAACCTTAGGGGAGCATAGGGAAACCTCAGGGGAACATAGGGAAGCCTTAGGGGAACATAGGGAAACATAGGGAACTTAGGAACACCTAGGGAACATAGGGAAACATAGGGAACTTAGGAACATAGGGAAACCTTAGAGGAACACAGGGAAACATGGAGAAACATAGGGAAACCTTAGGGAAACATAGGGAAACATAGGAAACTTAGGAACACCTACAGAACATAGGGAAACATAGGGAACTTAGGGAAACATTGGCAACATAGGGAAACCTTTGGGGAACATAGGGAAACATAGGGAACTTAGGAACACCTAGGGAACATGGGGATACATAGGGAACTTAGGAACACCTAGGGAACATGGGGAAACATAGGGAATTTAGGGAAACATAGGGAACCTAGGGAAACATAGGGAACATAGGA